TCCGAAGGAGTCCACTTTCAGTCACATCATCCAATTCGGCCAGCTGCATGTCCCGCACCTATGCAGAACACCTGGCGAAAGTGATGGCCGGCAGCAAGGACAACAGAAATCCTGCCGGATCAAAACCAGCAACCGTCTCAAGATATCTCAACGTGGTATGGCCTCCCCTTCTGGCACGCAAGCACAACCGCATGCACCCCCAGCGAACACGTTAGCCCATTGTTCCGCTGTCATACGGCTCAGCCAAACCCAGCTGGCCACGTTGGCCCCAAAGGCACAAGTGCTTGGAAGGAACAATTGCAGTCCTACAGCTGGCTCAGCCTGGCAAAGGACACCTGCCAAGCACCTTCTTGCGTACCGCCCCACGCCCGGCCAACGGCGCGAGAATGAGCAGCTTCCCCTTGGCCGCTAGAGGCCTGTGAAATGTGGGACCACCAGAATCGTCAGATGGAACCACCTGCGCCAGGCGTCTGCCGTATGATGCCACGGGGCAAACGCCGAGCTGCTCATTCCTGGGTAGGGCACAAAGGGGTTTGGCGTGGCTGTGACACTACTCAAGTGGAAAGACCTGGTATCAACTCGATGGTGCCGTGTACAGATCGCCATGTACACGCGCGCGCGTGTGTGTTTGTGTGCGTGTGTGCGTGTGTGCGTGTGTGCGTGTGTGCGTGTGCGTGTGTGTGCGTGTGTGCGTGTGTGCGTGTGTGCGTGTGTGCGTGTGTGCGTGTGTGCGTGTGGGCGTGTGCGCGTGTGCGCGTGTGCGCGTGTGCGCGTGTGCGCGTGTGCGCGTGTGCGCGTGTGCGCGTGTGCGCGTGTGCGCGTCTGCGCGTCTGCGCGTCTGCGCGTGTGCGCGTGTGCGCGTCTGCGCGCGTGCGCGTGTGCGCGCGTGCGCGCGTGTGCGCGCGTGCGCGCGTTCGCGCGTGCGCGTGCGCGTGCGCGTGCGCGTGCGCGTGCGCGTGCGCGTGCGCGTGCGCGTGCGCGTGTGCGCGTGTGCGTGTGCGTGTGCGTGTGCGTGTGCGTGTGCGTGTGCGTGTGCGTGTGCGTGTGCGTGTGCGTGTGCGTGTGCGTGTGCGTGTGCGTGTGCGTGTGCGTGTGCGTGTGCGCGTGTGCGCGTGTGCGTGTGCGTGTGCGTGTGCGTGTGTGTGTGTGCGTGTGTGTGTTGTGTGTGTTGTGTGTGTGTCTGTGTGTGTCTGTGTGTGTCTGTGTGTGTCTGTGTGTGGTGTGTGTGTGTCTGTGTGTGTCTGTGTGTGTCTGTGTGTGTCTGTGTGTGTCTGTGTGTGTCTGTGTGTGTCTGTGTGTGTCTGTGTGTGTCTGTGTGTGTCTGTGTGTGTGTGTGTCTGTGTGTGTGTGTGTCTGTGTGTCTGTGTGTCTGTGTGTCTGTGTGTCTGTGTGTCTGTGTGTCTGTGTGTCTGTGTGTCTGTGTGTCTGTGTGTCTGTGTGTCTGTGTGTGTGTGCTGTGTGTCTGTGTGTCTGTGTGTCTGTGTGTCTGTGTGTCTGTGTGTCTGTGTGTCTGTGTGTCTGTGTGTCTGTGTGTCTGTGTGTCTGTGTGTCTGTGTGTCTGTGTGTCTGTGTGTCTGTGTGTCTGTGTGTCTGTGTGTCTGTGTGTCTGTGTGTGTGTGTGTCTGTGTGTGTCTGTGTGTGTCTGTGTGTGTCTGTGTGTGTCTGTGTGTCTGTGTGTCTCTGTGTGTGTTTGTGTGTGTGTCTGTGTGTCTGTGTGTGTCTGTGTGTATGTTTGTGTGTGTGTGCGTGTGTGTGTGTGTGCGTGTGTGTGTGTGTGTGTGTGTGCGTGCGTGTGTGTGTGTGTGTGTGTGTGTGTGTGTGTGTTCGTGTGTGTGCGTGTGTGTGCGTGTGCTTGCCAAGCTTGGAGTTCCCTCTACAGAAGCGAGCTGCACACAATGTGCCGGGTGACCTGTGTGCAGTATCCAACAAATCCGAAGGAGTGCATTTCAGTCACATCATCCAGTTAGGCCAGCTGCATGTCCCGCTCCTATGCTGAACACCTGTGCGAAAGTGATGGCCGGCAGCAAGGACGACAGAAGTCCTGCCGGATCAAAACCAGCAACCGTCTCAAGATATCTCAACGTAGTATGGCCTCCCCTTCTGGCACGCAAGCACGACCGCATGCACCCCCAGCGAACACGTTAGCCCATTGTTCCGCTGTCATACGGCTCAGCCAAACCCAGCTGGCCACGTTGGCCCCAAAGGCACAAGTGCTTGGAAGGAACAATTGCAGTCCTACAGCTGGCTCAGCCTGGCAAAGGACACCTGCCAAGCACCTTCTTGCGTACCGCCCCACGCCCGGCCAACGGCGCGAGAATGAGCAGCTTCCCTTTGGCCGCTAGAGGCCTGTGAAATGTGGGACCACCAGAATCGTCAGATGGAACCACCTGCGCCAGGCGTCTGCCGTATGATGCCACGGGGCAAACGCCGAGCTGCTCATTCCTGGGTAGGGCACAAAGGGGTTTGGCGTGGCTGCGACACTACTCAAGTGGAAAGGCCTGGTATCAACTTGGTAGTGCCGTTTACAGATCGCCATGTGTCTGCGTGTGTGTGCTTGACAAGCTGGAAGATCCATGTACAAAAGCGAGCAGCACACAATGTGCCGTGCAGTATCCAACAAATCCGAAGGAGTCCACTTCAGTCACATCATCCAATTCGGCCAGCTGCATGTCCCGCACCTATGCAGAACACCTGGCGAAAGTGATGGCCGGCAGCAAGGACAACAGAAATCCTGCCGGATCAAAACCAGCAACCGTCTCAAGATATCTCAACGTGGTATGGCCTCCCCTTCTGGCACGCAAGCACGACCGCATGCACCCCCAGCGAACACGTTAGCCCATTGTTCCGCTGTCATACGGCTCAGCCAAACCCAGCTGGCCACGTTGGCCCCAAAGGCACAAGTGCTTGGAAGGAACAATTGCAGTCCTACAGCTGGCTCAGCCTGGCAAAGGACACCTGCCAAGCACCTTCTTGCGTACCGCCCCACGCCCGGCCAACGGCGCGAGAATGAGCAGCTTCCCTTTGGCCGCTAGAGGCCTGTGAAATGTGGGACCACCAGAATCGTCACATGGAACCACCTGCGCCCAGGCGTCTGCCGTATGATACCACGGGCAAACGCCGAGCTGCTCATTCCTGGGTAGGGCATTTGATCCTGTTGCCAATACCTTGGCTCTGCACAGGGAGTGACTGTGCACATCTTTGACTGTCTTTGTGCGCGCATGTGTGCATGTGCATGTGCATGTGCTTGTGTGTGTGTGTGCGCCTGTGTGTAACACTTCCATTTGCTTGTTCGCCCCTGCCAACAAAAATATGTTCGGTAGTGGTAGGTTCTTTTTAAAAACCAACAAGGGAATCTAATCTCGGTTGCTTTCTGCTCCCCCTCTAAAAGTTTAACTTTTAGTGGTTTAATGGAAAACCCAGTAGTTGGCAAACAGTTAAAGTCCTAACCTCCCTTGGCAAAATGCAACAAAGTAACAATACTCAAGCAACTAATCAACTAATTATTGCCTCTGTGTGTCTCATTCATGCCAGGCCCAGTGCCACGCACCTTTGCTCTACCCTGCGCTGCCTGTTGCTGCGGCCATGGACCCACGCCCCAGGCTGGATCGTAATGCTCCTTTTGGGGCTGGTTTGAGCGGAAACCGAACGGAAACAAGTGGTTTGGGGGGGGGGGGGAAATTGGGGGGGGGGGGTCCCTTGTTTGGAGACACAGCCATACAGGCAAAACAGTGGTCAAAGACGAGTTGGAGAGTCTCTGCCTTTTGACACGGTCACAAGGCTAGCCTGAAGGACACTGGGTGCCTTAAAAGACCCGTTGCACCGAGGATTTTCACGCAGCGCAACTGGTTCGCCACACTTAGAACGAAACTGCGAAAAGGCGTTGAGATTGAGACCATGTGGATATTCTCTTTACTTGGGGACGCTTCGGTGGACTTGATTTAGGCATGTTCTTTTTTGAAGCTGCCCTCTTTAGGGTTGGCGTACAGGGAAAGCAAAAGGAAAGCCAACATGACTTTTGGGGTGCTTGACACATACCCATTGAGCACCATCGGCCCGTTGACTGTTGGTGCTGTATAGTTACACAAGTCTATACGGCCCATATTGCAACCCCTATGAAACCAGATAGTAGAACCGCCCAATGCCAACCCCGATTTATCAAACCAATCCTAGGGGTGTTCCCTCCAAACGTGATGAGTCCCCACCACAAGAAAACACCCGATCAAAATCAACCGGGTTTATCAATCTGGAAATTCCCATGACTAAATTGGCTAACGGGGGATGCGCTGCTATGAGAAAAACGTCCGGCGAACACTCCGAGGTTCCAACCGAGCGAGCGGGCGCTAAGTGGTCCTGTGAAACTCGCGGTGGGATTTTCCCAGCGGATGGGTCCTATGCACATCACCAGCAGGTGGGGAGAGACGGGGATTGCTCTTCTGTTTAAAAACTCACCCAGCAGTTGGTAATTATGTGCTGGACTAGAGCCGCAACTAATCAAGCTAGAACCATTGGATATGATGGCCAATACGAATCGCTTTTGGGCGCTGCTCAAGTGACAACATGAGTTGCTGCAATGTTCGATGCTAGCAGAGGGATACGTAAGGACACCAAAGAATATGCCTTTAAACAACGTAGCCAGGTTCTGCCTTCCAGTAGACCCGTGACACCATAGACCTGCTGTGCTTTTTCACACGCTCAACTAGTCATGTCGTTCAAATGCTCCCCTCAGTTGCCCAAAGGACCTGGAAATACAAGGTGAACGTTTTGGAGCCATGACTAAATATGGCCCAAACAGGGGAAACCCAAAGGTCAAATTCAAATCAATTCGCTTTGGGCAACCGAGTCCATCTAGAATAAGTTGAACACCCTTCCTCCGAGTAACATCAAACCTGACTTTCGGGGGGGGTGGAAGACGACTTTCCTTTTAAAGGGACCCCTAAGGACCCCGAAGGATCCCGAAGGTTCCACGTCACTCGCGCCACTTTGTTCCGAGCCTTTGCGGGTCAGGGCACTTCTTGCACCAAGCGCGGCGCAGCCTGGGCCCCCAAAGCCCCGGCGCCAACGCCAGGGACGCCGGGGACGCCGGGGACGCCGGGGACGCCGCCGGGCGCGCGCGGGGGCATCTGCATCATCTGCAGCCTCAACTGTCCCCATAGCGCCCGAAATCCGGTCTAGGTCCAGTAGAGAGGGTAGAACAAGAGGACCCTTTTTTCTGTCGTCTGTTTTAGGGGAACCCTCCCAACCAGAAAAGGGTAAAAGGGCACTACTGAGGGACCTAGCGGTGACTGCTGGCTCTACCAACATGGCTGCAAGGTTTGCATGATCGCTACAACCCCTATGAAACCAGGTAGAACCACCTACTCCACGCATTCGCAGGCGAGATCGAAGCCCCCCCGAAGTAGAACCTACCCAACCAAAGGCAAGGGTGTTTGGGCTGTGATCAATTGCTCAAACCCGGCAAAGAAGATTGACGCAATGTGTGTCTCTGCCAGTGGTTTAGTCTTCCACAGTTGAACATTGGGCTTCTGTTACCAAGACCCACATATAAGCCCTGAGCTTCGCAAGGGGATGCTTTCCTTGTGGGAGCTGGCTCGTTTCCCTTGCTTCCGTTTGGAATGAAGAGGGTCCCTACCAGCACTCAAATCTGGGGACTTGAACGTTCATGCGGAAAGTGAACCCAGGTTGTCAGGAAACGAACTCCAGTTACTCTGCATCGCCTACATACCACGAGGGACGGGAGCCGTGCTTGTCCTGCATGGTGAGCACTTTTGACGGCAAATCCGTTTGCCTGAGTCCCCTTCAAACAATAAACATACTTTCAGCAGTGATAGATTCCATTTAAAATCCACAGGGGAAAAGTAATCAATTCATTTCAGAAAATGGAAGGCATGTGAGAGATGACCCCCACAAACATTCGCAAATATGGGCACCAGGTCAACTCCAATTTCTCCGAATGACTCCAACCCGCCGTCAAGATTTTTCCTTCCGGAGACCCGCAATTTCTACGCTCTCACGCCGCTCCCAGATCCGAGGAACTTGTGGACTCTGAGTGCACAAGCCCTTCACCACTTGACACGTTGACGTGGAAAGGGGAGCATGTTGTTTTTCGTTTTTTATGTTTTCGTTTTCGCAGCCAAGTTGGATTTCAACCACTAAACCACAAGCAAACATGCAAAATGGTTCCCAACCGAGGTCACTTGACACGTAGCTTCAGAGACACTCGCCTCGCATGGGTTCCCAAAGTTTAAAGCCTCATCTTGTGCCTCAAACGAACTCAGACTTGCGACCGCGGCAGTCTTTTTGTATTTTTCCGGCAAGGTCATTCTGGACTTGGCTTGATCCGAACCCTCTTATTTGAACCTCGAAATAAGGATGAGCTTCGGTAGCCTCCTTTTAAGCTTTGGATGCAAGTCTTGGATCCGAAGAAGCGAGAAATCGGGCTCCAAAGTTCCGAGCAAACTCCCAAGGGCCCCATAAACTCAAACCCCCGCTCGAGTGATGGCAAAAAAGGAATGGTTACCTGCACTTTCTGTATACGGCTAAAATGATCCCAGAAAGTGATACTAAAGTCCAGGAGCTGAGGTTTCGCGAGTCAAAGTTGGGTCCGAGTTGGCCATGGGTCAAAATTGAAATCGGTTAGCCCCCAGTGAACATCCCAATCCAACCACTAAAATAGGAAGCCTAAAATGGGTGGTGAATTCTCCTACCAACCAAAACGGGATCCCAAAACGGTTTTGACAACCACAGCCAAATGTTGTTGGCGTTGCCCAAGGCCCTACCCTGGAAGTTATATGGCTGTGGTTGTCAAAACCAATGGGATCCCATTTTGGTTGGTAGGTGCACCAACCATTCGTCTATTTTGGTGGGAATTGGGATGTTCCCTGGGGATAACCGGGAATTTGACCCATGGCCATATCATTTTGCAAAAAAGCAAAGGAACTTAAAGGGGCAGGGTACTTTTAGTCAGTGGTTGGTAAGCCTGGTGTTTTGCCCACTTACCATGGCGATAAGTTTCCTGAGTGGGTTATAGTTGTAACCAGGCTTACTAACCACTTCCCTGACGGACCCAATCGCTCCCTTATCTGGCAACTGGACGTCCAAAAGTCAGGGGGATGTCTTTTGCTGTGGATCGCAATGCTTTTGGACGGTGGCAAAAGGCACTGGGAACCAAAAAAAATGGAGAACCCTCCCCCCCCCAAAAAAAAAAGGGCAACGGGTGTCCTCTTTCATGTATTGAAGGCCACCAACAGGCAACGCATATAGGGTTGTTCTGAGAGGGACATCTGTAGGGAATGCCCCCTTTTCAGATAGGGCATGCTCAACTTGTAAAGCTCGGGTGGGGCCAACTTTCAGGGAGCCAAAGGCTGCCTTTGGTCTCAGACCACAGGACCTGGAAATGAAATTGCTAGCCCTTCCCTCCAACATAGCACAGGGCGGGTACCTGGAAGATCAGTTTCTAGGTCATCCAGTAGAGAGGTTAGAATACGTTGGCACCCGATGATTTTTTCCTACAATAATAATAATAAGTCTATTTTAGTGTCCCGAAGCCTCTCCCAAAAAAGAAAGGGTACTTTTCCTCATTGCCGCACCTTCAGGCAGGTGCCAAAAGCCGGGGGCCCCGTGAACGGCCCAAAGCCGGGGGTCTCGATGTCCGAGAAGCAGCTGCTGCTGTTGCTGCTGCTCAATGAGCCGTTGCTGTTCCTCAGCCATGGGCCCTGTGACCAGACAATCGGCGGGAAAAAAAGAAGAAGAAGAACAAGAAGTCGTGTTTTGAGTTGGTATCCGTTTTTGTTGGGATTGCTTGAAAGAGACACCAAGAAACTCACCCTTCGGGGTTGTCCGATTCATGGCTCATCGAAACCCCATCAAAAGAGCTTTCGCAGGAGACTCACCAAACCAAAAGGCACTTGAAGCCTTCGGAAAGGGACTGAGTGCTGGGACTCTGAGAATCACTGCGCCGGCCTGGCTTTTTGCCTTTTGGAAACTCAAAAAGCAGACAAACCAATGGAAAGTGGTGCTTTTCAACCATGGAGATCTTGAAATCAAAGGGGCAGGGTTGTGGGACTCAGTTGTTCAGTGACCCTGGAAAAAAAGGGAACCCTTTTGCAAAAAAAAGAAAAAGAAACAGGGAGCCACTAAACAACTGAGGGGATAGTGTCGCTTTTGTGATGGCACTGCTCGGCCTTTCCAATGATTCATGGCCTTTCCAATGATTCATGATTCCTTTGCGCTTTGAACGGTACAGGCACCACCCCTAAGGCAACAAACTTTCTTGTGGGCTCGTCAAAGGGACCCAGGATCTGGCTCATTAATTAGACAAAAAAGACAAGCAACCCGAGCGCACCCACGCCCATGTCAGCCTCGGTCAGAAAAACAGTTGTTTTCCCAAGAGGGCGTTGGACAATCAATTAGAGCTCGTCCCATGGCTTGTGTGATGGAGATCCAGAGCCCGTTCCATCATGTTCCTGCCAATGAACCATAGACTACCAGTAGTGTTGACTCTGACCATTTGGGTATGCGTCAAAATACGAATATAGGTCCCGCGCGGCTGGCTGGCTCCCCCTAGGCTTCCATTTAAATAAAAAAAGGCACCTCGAGAAAAAAAGACAAAAACAAAAAAAACAGCCCCCATCTTGGTTGCTGTTAACCCCTCAGCAAAAGGTTTAACTTTTTGTGGGTCCCATGGAAACTCCGACCGAAGGGCATCTAGCTCGGCGACCTAAACCGTGCTGAGCTGAGCCCGGGGCGTGTTGCTGCAGCTCCTGCTCGGCACCGGGTTGGTTCTCGGGCAAGAGGTTTCTCAGCAGCACCCTGGCAACGCAAGGCTAGGTCCTCCAGTGGAGAGGTTAGGGTTTAGGGTCCCGATGTTTTTTCTTTTGGTCTATTTTAGTAGGGGAACCCTCCCCCAAAAAATGGTAAAAGGGGCACTAATTACTGGGGGACCTAGGTGGCGACCTACTCTCATGGACCTTGCAGGGAGGCTATGGGGAGGGAGGGCTATCCCTTATTAAGCCCTAATAAGGCCTTATTAAGGGCTGATCCTTGGGTTATCCTGGGCTTATCCAGGGATAGCCCCCCCGAAGAGTCCATGATACTCCGAACATGAGTCTTCCAAAATACATAATGCCTTGCACTTTCTGGATGATAGAGGGGAACCAAAAGGAAACTAACTGCATGGTGTGAATAAGTGGCAAAATGAAACCCAACCCACCCCATTTCTCGCCCATCGAATTCGGGATAGGCACCGTCTGAAGGTTTCAAGGCTCGAAGACATTTGGAAAAAGCAAGTCACGAAAAAACCAGGCCATCCTGTTGGTCGCTTCCACAAATAAAAAGTTGAAAAATGTGTTCTCGCCACTGGTTGCAACTGGGATACCCCAAAGGAACTCGAATCTCCGTATTTTCCGAGGCATTTCGCGGTGTTGTTCGTATTTTCCCAGGATTTTTGCCGTTGTCTCCATCTTTTCCCAGCTTTGTTTTGCGGTTGTCTCCACAGTTTCCCTGGAATTTGGCGGTTATCTCCACATTTCCCACGAATTTGGCGGTTGTCTCCACCTTTTCCCAGGAATTTTGCTGTTGTCTCCACCTTTTCCCACTATTTTTTTGGCTGTTGTCTCCACCTTTTCCCAGGAATTTGGCTGTTGTCTCCACCTTTTCCCAGCAATTGTGCGGTTGTCCCCACATCTTCCCAGAAATTTGGGCGCTTGTCGGCGCCTAAAAACGGCGCACTTCGCGTTTTGGGGTCCCACATTGCGACTTCATCGCTCCGTTTTTCCTGGGGTGCTTGTACATACCCCTCTTACATACCCCTTGGACAACTGAACCCAAAAGGCCTGCTGATGTTCATACCCCTCTCCCCAAAAGGGGTATATACCCCTTATAAACTGGGTAAACCACGGAAGCCACGGAACCGGCATGAACAAGGGGTATGTACTTCCACCCTCAGAGTTCGACCCTCCCAGCGCCTATCAGCGCGATTGGGCACCAGCAGCTGCTCCAGCTGCTCGATGACCGTAATGGTGTCCACCTGAACTCCAAATCCCCGGCCATTTCGGGAAACGAGGGAATAACCCCTACTTCTAGGGGTTGATTCAATTCCATTCCTTTCAACCATCGTTCTTTCCAAAAACCGGATCCGTTTTCCCTGGGATACCTGGGGTTTTGTGGAAAGAAGGATCCCTGGAAAGAATGAGGAAGGTACCCCTAGACTACTGTGGATGGACGAAATCCACCACCTAAGAAAGGCTGGTTTCTGATGATTCCCCTGTAAATACCAACAAACGGCACCAAATGCGTCAGAAGCAAGACCCAGCTCTCACGTCCGACATGTCGTGGATGGGCCAAAAGAAGCTCAACCAAACTGTGGGTGTACCACAAAAACTAGCTCCTCCAGATTTGAGAGCTTAGAACTGGCTTAGAATAAGTTGGTACCCGATTTTTTCCCGGTTTTGCCTTCTGAATTATAGTGTTTGGTGCTGATTTGGTCTTGCTCGCAAACGGATTGCCTTGACTGCGCGCATTCCATTCCAAGGGCATCATGCCCAGAGTTGGCCAACCTGAACGTGCTTGACATTGTAGGGCCGACATACGGTTTTGTCTATTTTAGTAGGGGAGCCCCCAAAAAACGGGGAGAGAAAGGGCACTACTGCGGGACCTAGCCGGGATTAAAATGGTCATAATCCCAGAACCATGTCTCAATAATTGTTAAGAAGGCGGATGTCCGTAGCTATTTATGGCCAGGAGATTGTCCCTTACTAACCTTCATCTACCCGAATCGGTTTTGAGCACGTGGCTCAAATCCCCCCTGCCAGGCAGGCATTGCGTATGTTTTTGGTCCACGGATCGATCCCATCCACTTAGGCAAGGCAAAAGGGCCCAACTGGGGGACCTAGGACCTAGCTAGACGCACCTTCCTTCCCTTTCGGCCTCCTTTTGAGGAATTAACAATGCCACCAAACCTTCATTCTCTTCTGGCCTTTGGTTTCCCACATGATGCCAAAACGGGAGTCTGTTTGAGTGTGGGTAATGAAGGATTTCTCCACATGGTTGGTTTCTCGGGTGTCTTTTTAGCAGAAAACGGAAAAACACACATTCCCAAAACTATTCTCAATTTAATTGGGTGTGGCTCAAAATTATTGTCCATGTTTCTTTCCACTTACCAGGGTTCCATTTTGGTACCGGTTTTTTGAGCCACAGCCAATTGAGTTGGAAGCGCTGTTGGATTGGAATTTCCCCCAAGACAAATCCCCGCCCATCTTGGACATTCACTTCCACCTTACGACTTTTGAGACGGACCCAGCGGGCACTTGGCCAAAACTGGTTCGCGGTTCAAAGGGTCCACGGTTTCCCATTCACCCCTCGGTTGCGAAATCTGCTCCCCTGCTAAAAAGGACTTTTTTGTTGGCTTCTAGTGGGTTTAAATTCGGAAAACCCAGGAGTGGGCAAAAAGCGAGAAAGTCCTAACAGCCCAGCACAATGCAACCAAGTTCACCCTCTACCCTCGGCTGCCCGTGGCCTCTGATCCCCCGCTAAAAGTGACTCACGTTTTTTGGGGTCAAATGGAAAGAACCACTAAACACTCCACAGCTAACAAGCTAAGGAACCGGATGGCTGGGAGCCACGAAGACCCGCCCATCCGCCTGACAAAAACTTCCATTTGCTTTTTCGCCCGGGGAAAAATAAAAGCAGCCAATAGTGATAGATTCCCTTAAGAACCAACAGGGCGAAACCAAGAAAATAAACACATAGTCACTTTAAAACCAACAGGGCGGAAAAAAAGAGAATAAAACAAGGGAAAAAAAACCTTCACCAAATGGAAGAAAAGGCTAAGGCCCTGGCGCCCGACAAAGCCGCCAAAGCTTCTGCGTGGCTCACTGGGCGTCAGGGCGCCGACTCTCACACGTATATGAGTCAAAGTTGAAACCGATCGGTACAAAAATGGTGAACGCGACTTTTTCGGTTTGGTCTATTTTAGTAGGAGAACCCTCCCCCGTCCCCCCAATCAAGGGGTGAGAAAGGGCACTACTGGGGGACCTAGCCGGTATTAAACTGGTCGTAACCCAGAACCATGCTTCAAGAAATAGAAAGGCGGATATCCGCTACTGTTTCCGGCTGGGACTGCCCCTTACCAACCGGATCATCTACCCGAATCGGTGTTGATTGTGGCTCATATGTCGTTAGGCCAAAAGAAGCTCAACCAAACTGTGGATTTACCACAAAAACTAGGTCCTCCAGATTTGAGAGCCTAGAATAAGGTACCAACTTTTTCTGTAGTCTATTTTAGTAGGGGAACCCTCGCCCAAAAAAGGGTGAGAAAGGGCACTACTGGGGGACCTAGAAAATGGTCCAAACCCAAACCGAAAAAAGTTCAGAGGCTCAGGGAGTGAGTGCTGGACCCTCAAACTACCCCGAAGATTGGCAAATTTAAAGATTCGGTTCCAACAACTAGGTTCCTCTCAGATGCTACTTTGTTCTTTTGCAGCGCATCCCAGTTCCGTGTCACAGTACTCCACAAGATAGAGTCCTTCTAGCTATATGGTCTTGGTTACCAACTGTGCAGGTCAATCTTGTCTGGGCTGTCCGTTTTCAGATCCCCTGTCGTGGCTGAGATGCGGAAACCCAGCCACGAAACCCACGAAAGACCGCCAACAAAGCCGAGTTGAACCGGACGATTCGCTGGTGAACCGGCAAGCTATGGCCGATATTTCCGTAAGGTTTGGATGCGATTTTTGGGGGGTTCCCCCGTTGTTCCCCCTGTCAGTTCTTGTTTAGTAAGATTCTAGTACAGTCTTCAAATTCTCACTTGCCCAAGGAGCTGGAAAAAACCTTGACCAAAACTACTCCAAAAGGGGAAACACAAAAGGTCAGAATAGGTCGACTTTAGACAAGTTCATTGAAACCTGGAGCACCCTTCGTTACCTAAATTTCTGCCCTTAGCCCAAACGTATTGCAAAACCAGGGGTCGTCACCAAAATATGGTAAACGTACACTTTTTCCTGCTTCAAGCGTTTTTCCCAAAACCGGGCTGGTCGGTCCTCCAAGATGATCTTTCGTTGAATTTTCGAAAGGAGCGAGCAGAAATCGAAGTGCAAAACGAGCGCAAATATCCGCAAAACGAGCGCAAATATCCGCAAACGAGTGCAAATTTAAAAACCGTAACAATGCCCGCCTTCCTCTGGATGGAAGAAGGGGATTTGGTCGAGCGTTTTTCGGGGGGCGAGCGTTTTTTTGGGGGGTCGAGCAGAAATCGGTAATTCGAGCGTTTTTTTCTCTAACCTAAAAAAAAGGGCACGTTGGGAGTGAGATTCTTCTACAGTTTTTGTTCCACAGATTCTCCAGGGGTGCTTGTAGATACCCCTTTTACATACCCCTCGGGCCAATGCCCAACAGGCCTGCTGATGTTCATACCCCTCTCCCCAAAACGGGTACATACCCCTTTTACAGTGGCTTTGAAACCAGAGAAGCCAAAGAACCGGTATGAACAAGGCCTATGTACATCCACCCTTACTCGGCTGCTTTCTGCTCCCCTGCTAAAAGTTTAACTTTTAGTGGTTTAGTGGAAAAACCATTAGTTGGCAAAAGTTAAAGTCCTAACAGCCAAGCAAAATGCACCAAAGCTTACTGATTCGCCAATCCATATGATCGATGGAGTCGAGCGACTCCCGGCCTGGATCCTCGAAGAATTGCAGCAGAGCCGCAGCTATGGACGCTGGGGCCTGGAGGCCCAACATCGGCTGAGAGGTTTCGGGGGGGATTCTTCCATGTGGCACAAAATTAGATCATGGGGGCTGGGGGGGAGGGAGGGGGGGGAGGGAGCCCCAATAAGCCCCAAATGAGTCCTTATTGAAAGTTTCAAAAACCCCTCCCTCCCTGGAAAAAAAAGGGAACCCTTTTTTTGGGCTTGGACCATTTTAGTGGGGCAGCCACCCAAAAAAAGGGAAAAATGATTGGTGCCACTGAACAACTGAGGAAAAGGTCGATCCGCTTTCAACGAAGTGAGCAAGGGCTACTGGAAAACAATCCCCAGCTTTCCCCTGAAAGTACGCCTTCCAAGCCGGGGAGCTCCGATTCTTTCAGCGCCTGAAGTTCGTTCCAAACAAGGGGGACCTGTCAAGACACCAAACATCGGGCCCCATGAAGCGTGGGTCAACGGCCCACTTTGCAACCGTGGGGAACCATTGTTTGTTGGTATTTACAGGGGAATCATCATTGCAGAATTTCTCAGTCGCGCAGGATTTCCTCCATCCACAGTTTGGAGGCTGGAAGAACTAATTGGCTGGGAGAACACGAGTACCACTTGCATATTCAACCCACGTAAGTGCGGCAGAACAGAGGTTGCAACTTGGGTATGTGGGGTTAATGCATGCCCTTGCGATGGATAGGACCTACTTACCGCTGGGGCTCCTGGATTGATAATCCCGCCCTATCAATAGGGTGTCCACAAAATTGAAGGAAACCCAAAAGAGCTCCCGAATTTAGAAACAACTCTAGCTGAGTTTGAGGTTTGTCAGACGACCCCCCAAAAGGGCTTCGCGGTTTAGAGCTGGAACCGTGGTAGGTCTGCACCCTATTTCTCACTTCCTGAGTGGACTGGCCCAAAAAAGGCCTTTCCAACCCAGTGAGATTTAGATGGACTTCGCTTCTCTGGTTGCTTTCCCTTCAAAACCAAACAAAAAACGGGCTCCCTAACAAAGGACAGACCCAACCCACACTTTCCACCCAAAAAAGAAGAAGAGGGATGCGCATCGAGGCACAACCCGTTGGCTTCACCCAAACACCTGGCTGTGGGTCAAAACCAATGGTACCATTTTGGTTGGTAGGTGAATTCACCAGCCATTTGAGTCTATTTCAGTGGGGATTGGGATGTTCACTGAGGGTACATGGGATCACATTTTGGTTGGGATTGGTGAACTCACCCGCCATTTTAGGCTTCCTATTTTCGTGGTTGGATTGGATCGGATGAACTCACTGGGCTAACCGAGTTGGGTTTTGAAAAGCCCATGGCCTGATAGGAAGCACAAGCAATGATTCATAGGGGGGTCCTTCTTCCTTGTTCCCAGCTAACCGATGGTTTTGAAAAGCCCATGGCCACCTCTCCTCATCCCCCAGCGAAAGCTCGTGCTCCGCGATTTCGCTCCGCACCTCCTCCAAGTGCACGGCCCGGCTCAGGGAGCCCAACCCCCCAGCCATCTCCAGCAGCACCTGAGTCAGAAAATCAAAACCCGGTAATGTTGACCCAGGATTTTTCTAAACCCGTCCCATTATTCGGGGGGCGGGGACTCTCCAAAAGTGGTCCGAATCTCCACAAAAAGAGGACAGGTATTCTTGGTTGACCTTGGGTTTGGGGAGCAAAAATTCTCAATTTTTAGCAGTTAAGTGGTTGGATTTCAACCACTAAACCACCATAAGCAAAAATGTAAAATGTTTCCCAACGACAACCATGTAATAACATAGTCCACCCATCATGCTGCAAGAATTAAGAAGGCGGATATCCGCAACTATTTATGGTTGGGAGTATCCCTTGCTAACCTTCATCTACCCAGGTGTTGATGGCTCACCTCACGACAGCGGCGAGAGACAGATGCGGCGAGAGAGGCGGCGGGCGTTCTTTTTTCTTGTTAGGACGGGAGCCAAATGGAACCGCCAGTCGGAGGGTTCAAGAAATGCCCTAAGGCTCCCGATGCTTTTTGGGCCCTCAGAATGGGTTGTTTTCAAGGGGTTTTGAGGGGTCCGGGTTCTTCATTGGAGGGCCCGGGGCCCTGCATTGGAGGGGTCGCGAGCCTGGGGGTCAAAAACGGGGTAACCCCAAAATGGTTTGCCCGATCGGTACATAGAAAGGACGAAAACCTGCGGTCCATGCTCTGGTGGCTGAATTTTGACCCATACGCGAACGTGGAGCTAAATGCGGCTGTGACCCACGAAACAGAATCCGCAAAAAATCGCCACATGAATAGAAATATGATGAATTATGAAAATGGATCCCCAAACTGACCCTTAGAAACAAAGACAAAAACCTCGGTTAGCGCTTGGGACAGGAGCCAAATAAGCAATTCCATTGCCAATGGGACGTAAAATGCCCAAATCCATGAAAACGGACATTCAAGGCGGATTTCCCCAACGAATCTATCCGGATTTGATTGCGGCTCAAATGGCTGTGGCTGAAAAAAAGGTATCCCAAAATATGCTGCATGGCCCTAGCTCTGAATCACCCACAAAAAAAGGACCGCAAAAACTTACTGGCTTGCCTGTGAGCCACTGGGGCCGAATGGAGACCAACGCCCCCCCTCTTTTGGAGCTCCATGTGGGAGTTCGGTCAAGGTCTCCACGTATCTTGATTCTCTTGCTGATGCTCATTAAACCATCCAACTACTGCTTTCCTTTAAGGGGACCCCTGCGTTCATTCCCAACAATCTGGGGTCATTCCTTACTGAGCACCAGCCAGTTCTTTTGTTGATGTTCACCCGGCAAAACTACCTTTGTTTGACAAACAACCCTCCATTTCTGTTTGAGTTCCACGGGATAAACGCCTTCCGGGGGGGGAACAATAAAACAATGATAGAATCTGGTCATTCAGTGCAAAGCATGTTCCAAGCCTCATTCCCTAAACCTTCCAAAAACCTGGCCAAACTAAAAACCTTGCTTTACTGAAAGGGTATTCTTTTGTGGCTCAATGGATCGCGGACTTCCCTGGGTCTCCGTCGAAGAGCGTAAGTTGTCAACTCTTGGAGGAGACCCTAACGGCCGGCCTTTGGTGGCCGCCCTCGCTCTTTGACGCAGTTTTCAATGAGACAGAGACCTGGGCTGTGCAAAATGGAGGGTTGGCCAATCCGATTTTCCATAATCCCTATATATAGGGAAGCCACTACAAAAGGGACCCCGTTGCGTAACCGAAGGTAAGGATTGGCTTCCTCCCCAAGAAACAAACAAGTGTCCAACTGAAGAAACTGAAGAACGAATAGTGGCTTCCGCTGCTAAAGGGGCGCCGTGTTGAGTTGGCAAGAGGTTTGCTCAAAAGGAGTGCGCCTAGTAGCCTAGGGACATCAAAAGTACGAAGTTGGCCTTGCCGTTGAAGGACTTGCTGCAAGCGCCCTGGACCCTGAAAAGAGTATTTTCCCTCTGCTGTAAACAAAACTGGTAGGTGGTTTCTCCCAGAAGAATTCTCGAATTTCGTCCATCATCCTAGTTCAGGACTGTTCAACCACCAGACAAAGTCAACACCCAGCGCTTCCATTCTTCCCGGTAAAACAAATGAGGAAAACATCCCCACAACAAAAGGGTCTATGGCCATTTTTCCTGGTAAAAAAGGGAAACATCCCCACACAACAAAAGGGTCTATGGCCATTTTTCCTGGTAAAAAAAGGGGAACCACCCACACAACAAAAGGGGTCTATGGCGATTCCTCCTGGTTAGAAAAAGGGAAACATCCCCACACAACAAAAGGGGTCTATGGTGACCAGTAAGCGAATGGGACATGTCGTAGGGTCCATCCCAATGGGCAACGCCGTGCTCTCCGAGCCCAGCACCACACCACAGCTCCACGCGTCCGCGCTGTGGGGCCAGTAGGGGCCTGTCGTGTGTCGGAGTTTCGGTCACCTCAGGGTTTGCTTTCTTCTTGGGGAGGCTGTGTGTGTGTGTCCTTTTTTCCCAGAGGAAATACAAGAAGGGCAAAGCACCACTTTTTGGGGGTCGCCCAGAAGACAGCCCGTCAACGAACCAAGCCTCGCCCGAAAGTTGAACCAACTTCTCGTGAAGCTGCAACAAAAAACAATCCGACCCTTTGAACCTGGTGCTTGGGGTTTATCCATATCTCAGTTGTTCAGTGACCCTGGAAAAAAAAGGGAACCCTTTTTTGGGAAGACCATTTTTAGTGGGGCAGCCACCAAAAACAAAGGAAAAAGGGTGCCACTCAACAACTGAGTATAAGGTGTGTTCTGCAGTTGGGGTTTATCCATATCTGGTTTTACGAGGGTTTCAGCCATCGTGCGTCCACATGAACCCTCTTGCCGCAAAAACATCTTCGATGAATCTCACCGCACCTGGGAGCAACCCGCCAGAGGATGTCACAACATACCACAAGGGATTTCGATTTCGGTGCTCCTGTTGGTTTCCTCACTTCCTGAGTGGATGCGCCAAATAAAACAAACAAACAAACCGTTTGCTTACCGCCAACATGGTCTTCCCAAAAGGTGACTCAAGCCCAGAAACTCAGGGAGCGCTGTTTCCTTTACGAACACATCCACATCTTTCAACCACAAGTTGCCGCTCGTTGAAACCATGGGTCTTGTCGCGATGGGGACGAGGGCTGTTTCCCTTGCTGCTTCGAAACGAACAAAACGGGTATGGCAAAGTAAAAACGGAACCTGCGTCTTTGACCCACGCTGCTTTGGCCTTGCCCTGAAAGGGGGCCGGGCTGGGTCGTTTAAAGAAATGCCAAACTTGGCTTCCCAAATGCAGCTCCATCCTTGGCTACTCGTCCAGCATATATGGATTCAACTAAACAACTGCCTGCAGTCTCCAGGACCTTGAAAAATTGGGTCATGACCAAAAATACAGGGGTCACCCATGTTTGAAAACTGGCACTTCTAAACTGATCGCACTTTCTTACAACCCGAGATGGCTCCACAGCCAATATCCAAATTAAACCTGTACCTTCTGTACGTGTTATAATCACAGATTGAATCTTTTGGCTGCTCTGCCAGGTTCGACCTAGCTGAAACAAGCCAACACTGCAGATGCATAGCACCATGCAAATGTTGGAGCCAACCAATCTGCGGTGTCAGACTCCAGGTACCCACAAAATCCACTTAAAAAGGCGCCCGGCACACCCAAACATCGTCCACCCAAGAATCGACAAACACATTTCTTTCTTGGAGAATTTAGGAGGGCGAGTCATCGCACTTCTGAAGGTTCCAGGCGACAGCCTGGTGTGGGCCAGAGATAGCCGCGCTCCCACAAGGCCAGCCAGCAGCGGTGCCAGCCGTCAGTGCGTTCACGCATGGCACTTGCACGAAGGTCAGTGGCTGTCTTGGAGCCAAAGTCCAGGCTACTCGACCTGCCTTCGACTCCTTGCGCGCCATCTTGCGGTGGATGAGTCCTGTGGTATCTCTCCCCTGCTGTGCCAGCCAAACCGGCCAGGAAGTCGGCCACCTTCAGCAGCTCAAGGGGCGACTTTGATGTAGTCGGACGCCTTCAAGGCAAACTGGATCGTCTTGGAGTGACCGACCTCCTCGTGCTAGCAAAACCAACACAGCGCTTGATGAGCTTGAGAAGGACTGAATGTCTGGTTGACAATGTCAACTATCTACTTTCACGATGGCTTCGTGTGAGTTCATGGCAGTTTGGGTGGCAGTTTGACGGTCGCCGTTTCCTCTGCTTGTCAAATGTTCCCCCCTGGCACAAACAGGTCTAGAAACATGACAAGGAGCAGGATGAAGCAGGCCCCCTTGCAGAAATGTGCAAGCCTCTCAGGAAGCTGTCCGGGCCCAACCGTGGCAGGATCGTCCAAAGAGATTCTGGAGACTGAAGCTCCATCCACTGTTTACTGGGCAACTGCAACTCCAGCCTTGCTTCCCTACTCCAGCATGAATGACTTCAAACAAGCCAACTGGGTCTTGTTCGCAGTGGATCAAAACCCTGTACCTCTGGTGAACATCAAAAATAGGTGGCAAATGGATGTTCATCCACCCCAAAATGGAGCCACACTGTGGATGGACGAAATCCTGCACCACTTTGACACCACAACAAGCCAGTATTGGTTGATTTTTTTTCGGGGAATCGAATCAGAAACCAGGGTTTCTGAACGGTGGTGCGGTGCATGGATTGCGCAACCATCCACAATAGCTCGGTTGCTTTCTGCTCCCCTGCTAAAAGTTTAACTTTTCGGGGTTTAGTTCGGAAAGCCCCTAAAAGTTGGCAAAAAGTTAAAGTCCTAGCCTCCCTGGGCAAAATGCGCCAAAGGTGGGTTCTGCCCCATGGCCAGTTCTTTCCTGTCCCTCATCATCTCCAGCCCGGGCCTCCTTGGGCCATCTCCGGCGCCATGTACGGCATCGCGCCGCACACCTCACGTGGCTGCGCTCGCTCTGGCTGCGCTAGCCGCGGGGGGAGCCGTTGGGGGGGCAGTGCGGGGTTACCGTCTCCCCCGGTTTTTGGGTACCAAAAGGAGACCAACACCAGGTGATCCAGTAGAGAGGTTCGGGGAAAAGGGTACCAGCTTTTTTCTGGAGTCTATTTTAGTAGGGGCACCCTCCCCCAAAAAAGGGGAGAGCAGGATGCTACTGGGGGACCTGGAAAAGGAGTTTGAAGGAAAACCCAAAACCCAATCTTGAGCAACCTTTCTCAATCTTCAAAGGACAAATGAAAAGGAGAACCACCATTTTGGCGCCCCAAAGGAAAAGAGACGCCGAGTTCCCAGAGCCTCCAGCAACCTCTCCGCTCTTACCCCCGGGTATGTCAACCGCAACCCATGCCGACGCCAATCCAAGTGCCCTCTGGAAAACGGCATCGGCCGAGTGAGCTGGAAGGAAATACAAGAAGCTCTTGACACCGAGACGCCGAGACACAGAGACACAGAGACACAGAGACCCAGAGAGGCCGAGACGCCGAGACACAAAGACACAGAGACACAGAGACACAGAGACACAGAGACACAGAGACACAGAGACACCGAGACACAGAGACACAGAGACACAGAGACACAGAGACACAGAGACACAGAGACACAGAGACACAGAGACACAGAGACACAGAGACACAGAAACACAGAGACACAGAGACACAGAGACACAGAGACACAGAGACACAGAGACACAGAGACACAGAGACACAGAGACACAGAGACACAGAGACACAGAGACACAGAGACACAGAGACACAGAGACACAGAGACACAGAGACACAGAGACACAGAGACACAGAGACACAGAGACACAGAGACACAGAGACACAGAGACACAGAGACACAGAGACACAGAGACACAGAGACACAGAGACACAGAGACACAAAGACACACAGACACAGAGACACACACACACACACACGCACACACCCACACACCCACACACACATGCACACTTGTTTTTAGAACGCTACGATTTCCAAACGAAGATGCTTGGAGAAGGGGTAGAGACCATTTACATCCATTTACAACGTCTGGTTTGGACACCCTGCTTGTCCCTGTGAGAAAAAAAAAAAAAAAAACGAGCTCCGCGCAGTGCGGGAGGTCATGTTGGGCCGGACCAACATGGCACTTTGGAAGTCCACGAGGCGGACGTGCTCCCTGGCAGTGGCAAGAAACCTTCCTACTGTGGATGGACGAAATCCATTTCGCACCACTTTGACACCACAAAAAAGCCAGTATTTGTTGGTATTTTTTTCGGGGGATCGAATCAGAAACCAGGGTTTCTGAACGGTGGTGCAGGATTTCGTCCATCCACAGTAGGTCCTCCAGCAGAAACCTGACACTTGCACTTACCACTGGCCTAACCCGAAGCGCCGAGAAAGCTTCCTAAAAGCAACAACCACCAGTGTAGTGGGTTTCTCTAGTTCCTCCAGATTTGAGAGGCTAGACATTTGTTGGTACCCGACTTGTTTTTTTCTTCTGTATTTGAAATTTTAGGGGAACCCTCACTCCAAGAAAAAGGGGGGTGAGAAAGGGCACTACTCAAGGACCTAGCTTCTCAAATGCTGGAGCCTTGCCCTGCAACTTCGGGGGCCTTCTTTGCTTTTCCGACTGATGTTTAAATTCAGCAAACCAAATTGGGGTTCAGAGGGGACACATGGTTTTGTCCTACCTCAGTTTAGGGTGCATGCATCTTATTCCAATGTCTGACTTTACTATTTCCTCACTTCCTGAGTGGGTTGGCCACATGCAAACCGTTTACTTACCGCTCAAATGTTCCAAGCCCAAAAAGCGTCAAGTCCGACACGGCCCTCAGGAGCGAGTTTCAGGGTTCTTCTCTCATTCCTGCGTTTGGCCCCCTACCTCGGGCATGCCGGCTTGTCGCCTCGGGTTGGGTCGGCATGAGAGTAACAAACATGGTCCGGAAGCCCAAAGCAAATGAGAACATGTGCCCAGCGATAGATTCCATCTTTAAAACCAGGGGAACGTACACACATATTCTGAAGCTAACAGAGGTAAGCGAGACCAAGATCGGTCTAAATGCCAAAAAATATGGGTTGCTGACTGCCCCAAGGTGGACTGGGGAATGGAACCACCTCTGGGTATCTGCATCCTTGGGTAATCAACACATATCAAAACATGATCATCCTCCAGGGCATGAACTTTATCTGGAGACACTTTGGTGGACATCAATTTGGTCATATGTGGGGATTTGCGTTCACCATTAAAATCATTGCCGGACCCTCAAGCTGCCCGAAATCAAATTGAAATGGACATCGCCCCGTATCATTGAGGCAATTCCACATGCTTCAGTGCCAGCTTGAAGGTGCATCTCTTTCTTTTCTTTCGGCAAGCGCCTCGCTTCGCGAAGAAACCGCTCCGCGCCTGTCACTCCCCGCGAGCATGGAGATCACCAGGTGCTGCAAGCAGATGTCCCGGTGCGCGATGTTCTGCCGAAAAAGCGGCAGTCGGCGTGCGAAACGCGTGCCGGAGCCCAGAAAATGGTCGAGGGTAAGGCGTGGAGTTCTACATGGACAAAAAAACACACGGCCGAAGACAAAAGGCTAGGTCCTCCAGATTTGAGAGGTTAGAATAAGTTGGTACCCGAATTGTTTTCTTTCTTGTCTATTTTAGTAGGGGAACCCTCCCAACCAAAAAAGGGTGAGAAAGGGCACTAGTGGGGGACCTAGAGGCAAGGTGTGGTAAAAGCAAGCATGGTAAGCTTTGGCAAACCACGGAACACCGTTGTGAAAACAAGGGTGTATCATGATGAATCATCTTCTCCGCCGGCCAATGTTGCAGAAATCAGCCTTTGGCCCCCGACAGACAAAACATTGACAAAACAAAGCAAAGACAAATGCAGGTGAACCAATGTGAAATCATCTGGGTGAATTATACTATTTCACCAACCTCCTTTTCGCTCCTTTTCGAACAGTCAGCCAAGCTCAGCTTACGCAGAACTTGCCTGGATTCAGGCTGCTCCACCTCAAAGAAAACGCGCAATGCCCACCCGCGGGACCACAATTGGGCCCATCACAGGATGTTGGCCCGCCACAGGCGAGCTTTGTACTCCCCTCTGACCGCACCACTTGGTAGCTGTTGACGTAGCCACCCTTCCACCAACTCCCACCTCTCCGGTTTCCACCTCCACGCAATGCACGGCAAAGTCGCCCACAATGCCGTACTGTAAGGCCTAACCGACCCCGTCTGAACTTCGCAACCAAGCTCACGCAGTATTGCAAGAAGCGCTATACGGTACCAACGCGTTCTGTCTCCCGAACTCGCTCGCACATGGTGTACAGCTCGCACCTTCATGCAGTCTATCCACCTGACCTCAACTGTGTCATAGAGTGGTCCTGGCCTCCCCGTTGCCATCTGAAAGTCAATCAACAGCTGTGCAAATGAAATCCACCGAGCTTCAACGACTGCATCCTGCGTACTTGCAATCCATTGCGCCACACGCTGCACAAAGTCTACTCCATACTTACCTTCACTTTGCGGGCATCTTCGTTGTGCGATCGGCTCCACTTGAATCTGCGGGCAAATTCTAACTGGTGCCTGATCAGGAACCGGTGCATGCTGCTGTGATTTCACAAGCGCTACAGTTTGCGTAGCTCGAAGTCCAATTTTTAATTGCACACTTTGAATTTCTTGGGCAACTTTCCGCATGTAATTGAGCTGTCTTCTGACTGTGCCAACCAATTCATGCTGCCTTGATGACCTCTGTCGATTAGCTGTATCCGCAAGCTGATCAACGTACGAGTTGTGCTCACGAGCCCAAGTTTCAACTGGACCCTCGTCATCTTGTGGTTCACAATGTGAAGCAACCTTAACCGCCCAGAGCGGGCTCACACAACGCTCCGCAAGTTGCACTACCTTATTCCACAGGTCAGAATCTTTTGTGTTTGGGCCTACAATGGTCTGGCCTGCAAATTTTTTTTGCGCACGTTCCTGGACCGACTGATTATCAATCCAGACCCGGACAGGCTTTTGCAACCATTTTGCATAATGCAAGGCAGAGATCAGTGCTTGGACTTCTGCTCTATGCACAGTTTGTATGACACCTGGGAGCAAACCACGCGACACACTTTTGGCTTCAGCTGATCCAGGCGCTGCCACAACTGATACCGCCCACGCTCCCAGACGGAGTGCTGGCTCTACCGGATCAGATGCTGTTCCATCCGTGAAGAGGTCAACCACTTCACCTTCTACATCCAGACGTGTCAGGCAATGCTGCAAGCTCATTGAGGAGGGCCTTTTTGCCTTCAACCTCTGGCACAATGCCATGGAGTGTCAAGCATTTCGGAAGCGAATCCACTTGCTCTGCTGTTGTAGCTGAGAGGCCCATGCGATCCTGCTCAAAGTACTGACACTCCCACAACCTGTGCTGAATGCTGTCAGCTTCTAAGCACCATGGGCACGCAGGGGACTCACAAGGGCTAACCTTGGACTTGCAGTCTTGTGCATACATGGTGCCATTAATGACAATCCGCCAGAGGGATTCTTCACTAGCGTCTGCCGCTGGCGATGCACGCCGAGTCTCATATGGATCTCCAGATTGCGCCCCGGCATAGTCAGCTCTTTCTGCAAGCTTTGACCCTACACGCTTATGCCATGCCCTCTGAAGCCTATACTGAAGTTCTTGAATGCTCACCAGAAACAACGAAAAGGGCCCATGCTGATCAATCAGGATGGATCCATGGCTTACCTGCACACCTGCCTGATGGCATCTTTGCACCAGTACCGCCACTGGTCCTGGAGGCAGTTTGAGCCCCCCTTGCAACCATTCACCAAGGAGCAAGTTGACTGATTCCGGATTGGCCAACGAGCGAGCATCGCGTACCGCATCCATGAGTGCAGCAAATGCGGGGTCAAGACTGCTGTGTTCAGCAAAGTTTAAGTGGGCCCACGGTGACGCCCCAGCTTTTTTAACTCTTAAACCAGCCATTACTCCTGTCCGCATTTTCTGATACATTTCAGGCGAAATTGAGCATATGCTGGACCCATACAGCGCCCGTTTCCATGCAACGCCTCGAATGGCTCTGCACTTTGCCTTGTAGTCCGCTGGTGACTGCCTGAGCTTAGTCCATAAGTCCTGCAGTTGGCCTATCCTAGTCTGCAACGTGGCATTGCCATGTTTGCGAGTATACTGCATGTGTGCTCCAAGATCCTTTGCAGCATGCGAAACCGGCAAGTTTGCTGCTCTAAGCGTACTACGATCTACATCCTGGATGGCCCACGAGTAGGATTTACCAGCATCCACCTGCACATCCAAAGCTGCAGCAAACACATGGATGGCTTGCCTGGCAGCAATGACTCCATTGGCTGACGATACTACCACCTCCCAGTTATCTACGTAAGATACTGGCCATGAAGCCGGCACACTCTGATTGAGATACGCGTGATAACAGAGGTCCACTAGCGCCATAGCAACACACGAAAGCGAACAGCCTTCGGGGAACCCCGTCGACGAAGTGTGCGGTGGTCCACACGCATGTCTGACCACAAATCTCCTTTTCATGAGCGTGACGGCTGAGAGCCAGCCCTTCAAGATTCTACCTGAGATGCCTAATCGAATGGCAGCCTCATACACTGGTGCCCTGGGTAAGCAATTGAAGGCCTTGACCACATCAGCCACATAGCCACACAACGGCTCATGTTCTGCCTGCGCAGTTTGTACTGATTCCTGAATGCGATACCACACCATTGCTGCATGCTTCCGAGGCATGTTGCCAAGCTGACCCGATGCAGCAATGGCCGCAATCTTGGCTGTGACTGGCCTGGCTCTAAGCGTGCTCCAAATCCGGTACAGGACCGGAAAAACACAAATCGGTCGGTAATGACCCACTTCCTGTGCATCTGTGCGCTTTTCCAATGAAGCAACTGAGCCATTCATGAGTTGCTCAGGCCAACCTCGACCCTCTTCCGCATCATGAAACACTTGGAGTATTGCACTGAGTTGACTATCACTCATCTGCAGCAAGTCTTGGCGACTAACTCCATCAAGCCCAGTGGCAGCTGTGCGCTTTTTGGATTTAATGGCATTGCGGAGTTCAGGAACCGTAATGTCAGGCACCTCCTCGACAGGCAGCCTTGGAAGAAGGTTAACCAATTCCCTGGCTTGGTCCCACCGGTTGTCTGGCACATTGTCATGTCTGCACCACCGCGCTTGCCACTCTTTCCCAAAAGCATCAAACATCTCATCAAGTCCTCCGACAAACTTGTCTTGCCGGATTGGCTGGCCGATTACAACTCCATCACAACTTTCAACCCATAGTGCATCCACTTCCGAATGCACAACCTGCAATGGCTTTCCCTGATGAACAACCGCACGCTCAGCACTCAAGTCAATTGGATTGCTAAGAACAATCAAATTTTCCTCAGCACGAACCTCTTCCACAAAGGCAATTTGACTTTCAAGCAGCACATCAACAGGTGCAGGCTGCGCACGTTGGACATCACGCATCACAAGATTTGGCTGTTCTCTCCGCCTCTGCACGGCACTTGCTTTGCGCTGCATTGCTAGCATATCTGCAAGTCCCTTCACATCAGTGCGGAAAGCATTGAAGATGGCAACTGCAACCTCACAGCACGGCGGATCAAACGGAATATTGACTGGATCCCCCAACATTATATGCTTACGTGCCTGCCACCACTGTCGGAAGTCCGGGACGAATCCACTTGCACAACGTATCGACCGCCACAGTTCCGCCCGGTACTCACGTGCCCCCACAGTTTGGCTCTGCTTGGAGATTGCTTGCACATAAGATTGCAGTCTCCGGAGCTGCTTAAACCATCTCGCATGCGTGGCTGAAGGCCCAAGAAATTCAGGCTCCACTTCACCTTGTCTAGAAGGTGGGATCGGCGCATGGATGGGCTGTCGCTTAACAGTGTCAAATGTAGCTGCACGGCCTAGGCACTGAGGCAACACATTGTGCCCACATGATTCCTGCTGAGCAACTGCACTCTGTTCATACCATTGCATGATTTGCAGGTACCTCTCAGTCTGTTCACGCGAAGGCACTTGTGTTGCCATCGGCACGCTTGACACAAGTTCCTCCTCCATGGCAGGCATGACTGGCAAAGGTTGCGGCTTTCGCCACCAGTGATCCAATTCCATCTTTCCGAGCCTAAACACTCCATGCACAGTTGCATGGTCAGCAAATGTTTGTTCCACCTCCACAGACTCCAGCTTGGCAGCCAGCTCTGGACTGACAAACACAAAATCCTTACGTGTGCTGTTTTTGCACGTGTTCTGGATTTGCACACCCCATTTTTGAAAGGCAAGCTGCTGCACTTCCCTCCAACCTTTTCTCTCCCACTCAGCAACGATAGGGAGTTTGTCCAGTGTGTGGTTCCAGTCACCGCAAATGTACCGCAAACCACAGGACTGGTGCACAATCCGACTGCCAACCTGTTCCAACAACTCTTGAGTGCGACACACCGTGTC